CTATTCAACATTGCACTGGAGGTCCTAGCCAGCTGCGTAAGGCAAGAAAAAGCACAAGATATAATGAATGAAATGAAAGAAATCAACTGTCATTATTCACAAATGATATATTTCTATGTAGAAGATCTAGAAAAATATAAAATAGTTAAGATAGTGTGATATTGATACAAAGTTGGTAGATAAACCAATGGAACAAAATAGAGCGCCCAGTAATAGATCAATGCTTATAGGGACACTTGATATATGACAAAGGTGGCAATGGCAATGTCAAACAAGATCTTTTCAACAAGTGTTGTCTCAGCACCACTTGTTGAAAAGATCTTGTTTGACATTGCCACCTTTGCCATATATCAAGTGTTCCTATAAGCATTGATCTATTGCTGGGCTCTCTAAAAGAGAGATGGCCCTCCTAAAAGTGATACTCACTGAGGTTTTAATTTTTGTGGGAATCACAAGAATCTCAATGGACTTGGAGTCATGTGAAATATCTGTTCCTCTGCTAGCATGAGTTCAGGATAACCTGCTTGGATTCTACTTTTGTATGGAGATGTGGTAGGAAACTTCATCAAGGTCACCTTCATACTTATTGCAACCAATAGTATTACATGATTTTTTTCCCACTTACGGATTGACTTCTAACTGCCCGATTACACCATGTAGACGAGGCATTAGCTTAAATACTTTTGCATCTCATAGCACCTAGTAGTGAATTAGGTACATGATAGGCTTTTAACAAATGCTTTTACTGTCTATGTGGTTTCATTACTGTATACAAATTTAAAATATATATAATCAGTAGTTTTTCTATAGGTACATAGTTTAGGTTTACATTAAGCTTTTAACACCCAGAAGAAGGCTTTTTGTTACTCTATTGTTAGGTGCAAAATTCATAAATTTTGCCTCTGAGAGTTGGCAAGAAGCACATCTATATTTCAATTTGGACAAAGAGGCAGTTAACTACATTTACATTTAAAGTATTTAGTAGTGTCAGATTGAGCACTTGAGGGAGTCAGGCAAAAATTAATAGATAATTCTGAGCTTGACTGGATAGCGCTTGAACAACCGCTTAAGATCTGGAGATTTAGCACACAAATCAAATCCTCCTCATTGACTTTTTCTCAGAACCATTAAATAGTTATTTTACATTAGCAAAATAACTCTTAGAATGTCTTAACTTTTTTACAGGGCCTATATTACAAAGGATGTGGTGAATCAGAAAGGAGGTAACTGCATAGGCTTGGAAACCTTATAGAAACGTATTTTCTTACCATTCCCAAGACTTATCTTTGACTTGGACATTACATAGAAACTTATTTCTGATGGTTAGATCTGCAAGCTGGCTTGTAAAAGCCTATCTAATCGATAATGTACTGGAAATGGTATTATTCTGACCACACCAATCATTTAGAGCATTTTTTTCTGATAAAATCTGTTTATAGCCCTAGGTCAGTATGCAAGGGACAAATACTTCTTGCATATTTTTCTTATTTATTTATTTATTTATTTTGAGATAGAGTCTCACTCTGTCGCCTAGGCTAGAGTGTGGTGGTGCAACCTCAGCTCACTGAAACCTCCACTGCCCAGGGTCAAGCCATTCTCCTACCTCAGCCTCCCAAGTAGCTGGGGCTACAGGCACGTGCCACCACGCCTGGCTAATTTTTTGTATTTTTAGTAGAAACAGGGTTTCACCGTGTTAGCCAGGATGGTCTTGATCTTCCGACCTTGTGATCTGCCTGCCTCAGCCTCCTAAAGTGGTGGAATTACAGGCATGAGCCACTGCACCCAGCCTCTTGCATATTTTTCTTCTCCATACCCCAGTGTGGGTTTTAACAGTAGTATGGGAGAGGTAAGTTTGGTATCTCCAGGCACCAATAACTTAAACTCTGTCTGTGCTATAAAATGCAGTCACCAAGAACCACATAAGGTCACTTAAGTTTAAATTAATTAAAATAAAAAATTCAGTTTCTCAGTTATCCTAGCCACATTTCAAGTGCTCATAGTCCACATATGAGACTATGTGCAGTGACAGTACAGATACAGAACATTTCCATCATCTTAGAAAGTACTCTTCTATGAGGTAACCTTGTACATTAAGTACTAGCTAGGTATTTTCTTTCTTCTTCCTTTTTTTATTTTTGAGACAGGTTCTTACTTTGTCACCCAGGCTGGAGTACAGTGGCACAATCTCGGCTCACTGCAACCTCCGTTAGCTAGGCATTTTCAAATAAGGGAAAAGAGGAAAATAGTTCCTATGGGGACTGTGACTCAGTGTCTCTCCCCAAATTCAAAGTGATGAGTCATTTATAAATTAAATTTAAGTCTTGGATTCTTAAGTGGGATATGAACTCTGCCTTCATGGAGTTTATGGCCTATTGGGAGAAACAGGTATGAGTAAATGAAAAGTTAATTAACATTAAAGGCAGAACATGATAAATGATAAGCAAGAGAATAAATTATCAGGGAAAGAATAGATTTAAGAGACACAGAGGATAATGTTGATGTACTTAGTATAAAAGGCAAAAGAGGAATAGGCTGAAAATAACCCTGATGTTGATGGAGCAGGATCCATGGCACCTTGGTGGACTACAGGGAAGCATAAAAGGGAGGGGAAAATGAGCTCAGTTTCTACCCCATTCAAGGAAGCACATGGAGAATCAGGGGATTACATTCTTGCACAAACAAAAAATGATCTACTGTATCAAAGGCTACAGGACATCTCAATTCAATCACCGATAGGTCTAGACGGCTGTTATTAGCATTTCTTTCTGTAACAACTTCATCGGTGGCATCTGAGATTGAATTCTGAAGATAAAGGAGGAGGTAAAACATAAGGAAATGGAGGAAATGCCTAGATGAACTGAGGGGACAGTATGCGGGAATAATTCTTGGCTTATTAATTATTGGATTGAGTCACCTCCATCTGTTCTGGAGACTGCTTTATCAAGTCAGAGGATATGAGTGTGGCTTTGTCAGATTGTGCAAGACAAAAAGAATACCGTTAGAATTATGTACATGACATTGGAAGGCAAAGTGGGTCTTAAAATTTTAAAATAAGAGACAACTTCTCTAATTGACAATGAAGTCAAGGAAAGGAAGCTAGGATACCTTTCTTCTGTTATCGAATGTGTAAGTGCATATAGTCCATTTTCTGGTCATCAGCTGAATACTGAAAATGTCCATCAGGTACAACTTCTTTTTTGTGAGGGTAGGCAACAAAGTATGCAAAAGCCAGAAACCAGTGGCTTGCAGGGTTTGATATTTAATTATACAAGATAAACTAAAGATTATCTTTTTCTCATTTATAAATACCTAGGAAAGTGCTCTATGTTTCATGTTTTTGCATCTCATGAATGAGGTCCTGATAGCTGTGTTGGCAATCTCTGAAATTCTTCCCAGAACTCAATCCTGAAGAACCAGAAGCACAGTTTATAAGCTAAAGTGAAAATTTATTTTAGGAAGTTCAATTTTAGAATCTAGAAAACAAAAAACAAAAACCCTAAGCCTATGTAAGTAATTTTAACATAAAATGTTAATGTCCCCAAACTTTAATGGTGGAATAAGGACAATAACATGAAGTATAAGGAATTTGAGATAAAATAGTTATTTCAGAAAAGCTTCTTACTCTCCTTGAGCCTTTGTCTATAAAATAAGGATAACAAAACTTGTGTCATTGTCTTGTTGCAAAGATTGACTAAAGAGATATGTATAAAATGCCTAGGTTATGGCCATTTTTTATGTTTAACAAATTCATAATTATTTCTTATTTCTACAATTGTACTAAATTATTTTAATAGCTGCAAAAGTATTTTACCATATTGACACTTTATTTAACCACTTCTCTGTTGCTAGACATTTGGACTATTTTCAATGGTCTGGCATCTCTTTGTATAGGAATTTCAGAAGATATTAGGACCTCCTGTAAAGGCCAGGTAATATATATTTTTGGGCTTGTGGGACCACATAAGTTCTCTGTTGTATATCCTTTTAAAACATTTCTTGTTTTCTTTTAACAACCCTTCTCAAATACACAAACCTTTAGCATGATGGCCACAGCTAGAGCTGGCCCTCCAAAAGCAATTTGCTTAGCCCTTAATTGATAGTTTTAAATCAGTCTGAGCCTCCTTGGAAGTTCACTGCAAAGGCATAATCTCAATTTTAGAAGCTGCCAAGACCCTAAAGAGCAACTGTTAGTCTCTAGCTCTACCGATGTGGTATTACGCAGATTCCTCTGCCGATATTTTTGTTAGGAAGCATGACGTGAAAGTGGTGACAGGATGGAGAATGTCAATGGCCAGTGTATGTGAGTTTCCATCTAAGCTAATTCTTATGCAAGACACTGGCTGAAAAATGGGTAAGGAGCACTTTTCTAGAAGACCACGTAATTTCACCACGTGCTATCTTCCAGAAATGAAGTCAACGTGTAAATAACTGAAATGTCTTAAGAACAGCTCTTGGGTAATTTTTATCTGCAGCAATAAGGAACTTAGTCTCTATTAGAGTTAGAAAGGGGGTAGGATCCAGTAGTGAATGGAAAGAGAACTCAAGTTACAACTCAGTTTTAGCATTTACTGGCTGCACACTCTCTGGCAAGTTAGGGTAAGTCTCTGAACCTCCGTTTTTTCATCTGTACTTACTTGTGATCTAGCATTAAAAACAATGCCAGGCACCAAAGAGGTGATGAGAAATGAGAAAACATACAGTTATTTGCTCTAATGGTTAGAGACAATGATGGTCAGCTTCGATTTACTTTGATGACCCGGCAGGGAGGGAGAGCACAGGTGGAACATTAGAATCTCCTTCGGGAAAAGGATGCCGTTGGATCAGTCAGGTCCAGTAGCACTGCCCACTTCTCCTGCTCCAAGGCATCTGCCCTCGAAAGCTCTCCCAGGCCACACCCGAGGACACCACCCAGGGTTCTAGGACACCTCAGTGGCGGTTGTGGTTTGGCTCTTGGTCCAACTAGCCCCGGCTGGGCCAACCTGGAGTCCGCTGGCACTCACCTGCTTGGCAGGTGCGCGCGCCCCGAGGCGTGACCCGGGAGTGCTGGCGCGGTGGGTGGGGGCAGAGGATGTACTCCAGGCGCATGGCACCCGCCGCCCAGTCGCCGCGGTGGCTGCCGGGATGCGCCGCAGCGAATGGTCGCGCCGGGCGCCGCTCTGAGTGACCTTTCACCCGCGCCCAGCGGTTCCGGGCGGCGGCACAAGGCGGTAGCCATGGCGGAGGCGGCGGCTGCAGCGGGTGGTACGGGCTCGGGCGCGAGCTTCGGCTCTGCAGCAGACCGGGACCGGGACCGCGCCGGGAGGAGGCTGCGGATTCTCTCCGGCCATCTCCTGGGCCGGCCCCGGGAGGCTCTGAGTACCAATGAGTGCAAAGCGCGGAGAGCCGCGTCGGCGGCCACGGCGGCGCCCACGGCCACTCCCGCCTCGCAGGAGTCGGGCACCATTCCCAAGAAGCGGTGAGTAGCGGTCTGTGGAAGGAGCTAGCGGCGAGGGACTAGGCCGGGCCTGTGCTGCAGAAGGACACAGGCGAGGTGGGAAGGGAAGTGACACGGGTGGGCGGAAGGCATCCCGGTCCCTGAAAGCAGGGACCCATCTCTCTTTCAAGTGAGGGTGGACTAGACCCTGGATTCTGTCAGAAAGGTGGGCGGGATGGGATGGTGGATTTTGGTCACTATGTGAGTCTAATAGACTTGAAGAACTCATTGGGGAAGGGTTGAAAGGGTTCCTTTTTCCTGAGTTTTTAGTGCCAGGAATTCATTCTTTATCTTAAATGAGTACTTTGGGTGCTGAGGTCTTGGAATGGGGAGCACAGGTTCTATTTTGCTTCTCCTCCGAGATTTAAGTTTGTAGTAGATGATAGATGGTAGGGATCTCTCTCATTCGCGAAAGCCTGCTGTGGGGGAAACTGGTGGTGCCCTGGGAAAAGGTGCTGACTGGTTTCCGTGGGGCAAGTTCCGCTTGCTTAGGAGCAAGATGTGTTGACTTTGAGGGAGGAAACGGATGACTGGGCAAGAAACATAAACTGCAAACACTAGCTAGCGGTTTAAGGTGTGGTGGTATAGCTACTACACTCTGTGTAACCAGAAGCTGAATGATGAGGGTCTACCGATAAGGGATGTTTGTAAGAGATCTTGACTTTCGATTTTTTGGGGGAAATCTTAATCTCTGATGAAAGCTACTAGAAGAAGCTATTTTCTGACGTGTGGCTTTGTCACCGTGGATAAACCGACAGTGAAAAAAAAAATGTAGTAATGTTTAAAGTGTACTTTCAGTGTGCCAAAGATTGTGCTAAATCCTTTGTTTCTTCCCAATCTATGAGGTAGGTGCGGCTTTCTCCCATTTTTCAGATGAATAAATTAAAATTAAGTCTGCAGGAGGCTTAGCAGATGTGCTGTGTGACAGGCTAGAATTCGAAAGCACATCAAATTGACTTCATGGCCAAATTCCTAAGCTATCCTGCTTCTGATGAATTAATTCAACATACATGAGTTTTTACAACATATTCACTGTACCAGCAATTCAGAAATTTAAAAATACAGTATTTACTCTTAAGAAAGGAATAGCTTAGTAGGTAAAATTATAATACAGCGTTATAAGAAACTTTACCTGAGAACTGTAGCACCTGCTCACTTAACCCACTTTTGCTTATGTGTTTGTTGGTGCAGAGACTTTCCAAAATAACTATTGTCTGAGTAAATTTTGGATGTTTGCATTAGTAATAGTCTGCCAAAGGGGAAAAGTTTTCTTGGCATACAAACAGTATGTTCACAGGTAAAGAAGTGATGGACAACTTAGGGAACTGGTGAGACTTAAGTGTGGCAGGAGAGGGTGAGAATGACAGGGAATGAAGACTGGTGAGGTGAATCTTGTTTACAGGATTTTATGTGGGGCAAGACATGATTAGATTTGCCTTTTAGAAAGGTCACACTGGGACCAAATTGAAGACAGTTGAGCAGTTTGGCAATATAATGACTGGGAACATAGACCTGGATTTGAATTTTCACTACACTGTTTCAGCTGTATGATCTTGGGCAAATCACTTAACCTCTCAGAGTTTCAGTCCCCTCATTTGTAAAAATGGGAACAGTAATTCCTGTTTTGCAGTATTGCTGTGAGAACTGAAAAATCTGGAGTTAAATGATCAAGTGTTTAGTGCAATGTCTGTTACATAACCTTTCAAAGAATGATAGCTGCAGTTTTCACTGTGTCCAAGGGCAGAGCGACTAAGAGACTATTTTCCCAGTGAGAAATGCTGGGATTCTGAACTAAGGCATAATATCGAGAGTAGACAACTTATTTGAGAAAATGTTAGGAGGTAAAATTTCCATAACTTGGTTACTGAGTGGTAATGAGGGGAGGAATAAAGGATTTCATCTCATCTCCTGGCTTCACTTGAGGTTATATTATTAATAGCCATCATTGGGTTTAAAACTTTTCTAAATGGTGGTTTCATGTAAATTTCTACCTACACATTAGTATGCATGTGTGTGATTGTACATTTTATGCAGATTCACACTCTTAGAACCAAGTAAGGAAGGCAGGTTTTCCTTACGGTTAGATTTATGGCCTTGGTTTATAGCATTCAGGGAAAAAAAAGTAATATTTGTAAGGCACACCAAGATGATGGATGAGTCTTCCTATGGTTGAAGGTGACTGATCAGGGAAGCCCTGTGTGGCTGCTCCAAGGACTGAAGGCATTGATAGTTGAGGCACAACTGTAACCCATTTATTGTATAGGTTACAGGTGGTGGGAAGTTTTGGTCTTTGGTTCAGGATTAGACGGCTAATGGTAAAATCTAGTCCTCTACTGGTACTTCGAGATTTTATCAGACTATAAGGGAACGCAAAAACTTGTATTAGATGACACATCAAAAACTTCCACAGAGGGTGATCTACTTAATAGATTATCCATGAAGAACCCAAGTTTCCCTTCTACTTCCTACTTAGCTGGTTCTCCAGTTGCCAGCCACAGAATCCAGCCTAAAGGGAAGACAAATGATGGAGGAAGAAGGAACCAGAGTATGTATCTAATAAGGTGTGAGTATGCCTATATGTCAATTATTTCAGAATCATTTGGTGATTTGTGTATTATTCCTTCCCTTTTGTTACCTTGGATGATGGCATTGGTTGTAATTGTTTTATCACATGGCTGGTTATACTTAAAATTCATCATGGCCTGGAGTGGCATGACTTCTTGAAATGCCATATTTTCATTCCTGTTATAGAATACTCATGCCTATGTTAATTTACTCAACATTTATAGAGTAGTTGCTTTATGAAGATCCTGTCCTAGGCACTGGAGGTAAAGAGATGAATAAATAGTCTTCGGCCTCAAAGAATTCACGATCTAGGAAGTGAGAGACATACTGCAGTTCTATTAGAGCCACTGTAGATACAGGTACCTACAGATGGAGCACAAAGCAAAGACTGGAATATTCTATTGGCAGGGAGGGGTGATCAGAGGAAGCTTTCTGGAGAAGATTTTAAAATGTGGAAGATAGCTTGAGAGTTTATATTCTAGGCAAAGGGAACAGCATATGGCAAAGCAAGGGGGCATAAAAGTGCATATTGTATTTAAGATAATTGGATGATTTAGTGTTGGTAGAGATGAGAATAAAATGAAAGGAGGGCAGTGGCAGGTCCTGGAGATCTTTGGCTTGTGGATTGTCAGTCCATTCATTCATGCTTGTAAAATATAGCAGTGAACAAAAACTCTGCCCTATGGAACTTATATTCCAGCTGGAGTGGAGACAGTGAACAAACAAGTAATATAGTATGTCAGGTAGTGATAAATATAAAGAAAAATGAAGGAGCTGAAGGGACTTGTTGATAGAGAATGCTTGAGGGAATTAAGCTGGGAAGAGACATGATCAGATTGGGTTTGGGTATGAGAGGAGACATTCCAGCTACAGTGTTAAAAATGGGTTGGAGAACAGTAAAGATGGACATAGATCAGTTAGCGGAGATGAGTTAGAGGAGGCTGTTGTAACACAATAGGTGAGAAATAATGAAGAATTAAACTAAGATGATGACAGTGAGAATAGGGAGGAAATGATGTGTGTGAGAGTTTTGGAAGTTAGTTCATTAGGTGACACTGTTAAAGTTTAATCACACTTTAAAACTATGTGATTAAAGTAATGCCACAGGAGTTTGGAGACTGAATGACAATAGAAAAGGGATGACACAATCCAATGGAATGTGGACGTTTTAGAGGGCTGACCAAACAAAACCTGTTGTTTACTTGTCACATGGTCTCCTATGAAGTTGGCTCCAGTTACTTCTTTTTTCTTTCTCTCGCTCTCTCTCTTTCTTTTTTTAATGGAATCTTGCTCTGTCACCCAGGCTAGAGTGCAGTGGTGTGATCTCGGCTCACTGCAACCTCCGCCTGCCGGGTTCAAGTGATTCTTTCTGCCTCAGCCTCCTGAGTAGCTGGGATTATAGGCGCCTGTCACCGTGCCTGGCTAATTTTTGTATTTTTAGTAGAGATGAGGTTTCACTGTCTTGGCCAGGCTGGTCTCGAGCTCCTGACCTTGTGATCCACCCGCCTTGACCTCCCAAAGTGCTGGGATTACAGGTGTGAGCCACTGCACCCGGCTGGCTCCAATTACTTCTATCCAGGAACGTATGTTCTCATTATTTGAAGTTGCTGAGCAAAGTTTTGGAGTGACCGTTTATTTTTGGTTCCTTCTTTTTTCTTTAAGTGCATGTTACCCATGTACAGTTTTTCTTTTGAGTTTGCTTCTAAGTGCAATTTTAGATCCTTAAAAATCATATTAATGTCAATTACATATGTGACACTTTTATGTATTGGTTTTGGATTTTTTCAAGTTTTTGTTTGTTTTGTTTTGTTTTAAGGCTCTTGTGATCTTACAAAAAAGAGAAGTAAAAAAAATCTCTTGTTAACTTTCATTCCTCCACACTGCTAACCTCTTTCCCTGTTATAACTTTGGCTCCAACCTCACTGTGGTTTGCATTAGTCAGAACTGCTCTATGGCAGTTTTTACACAGATTATAAGTGTTCAGTCAAAAGAATATCTGACTAAGAATGCTACTAATTGTTTAGTTTACTTGCTTATAATGCCACTTACATATGCCATTTTAATAAA